TAATTTTTTTGATTCAAAAAGGCATATGCATCCCTATATTTATTGCAGCACTATTTACAATAGCCAAGATATGGAAGCAACCTAATTGCCTGTTAGTAGATGAATGGATAAAGAAGATATGGTACATATACACCATGGAATACTATTCAACCATTAGAAAGAAACAAATCCTACCATTTGCCATTTGCAATATGGATGGAGCTGGAGGATATTATGCTCAGTGAAATAAGCCAGGTGGAGAACAGCAAGTACAAAGGATTTTCCTTATTTGTGGAGTATAACAATGAAGGAAAACTGAAGGAACAAAACCGCAGCAAACTCACAGGCTCCAAGAAGAGACTAGTGGTTACAAAAGGGGTGGGGTAGGGGAGGGCGGGAGAAGGGGATGACCCCACATGCTGTGGGGGTAATCATGGGGAAGACAATGTAGCACAGAGAAGGCAAATAGTGACTCTGTGGCATCTTACTATACTACTGGACATGAATGCAGTGGAGTATGCGGGGGGAACTAAAAACTATGGGTGAATGTAGTAACCACGTTGTTTTTCATGTGAAACCTTCGTAAGAGTGTGTATCAATAATATCTTTAAAAAACAAATGAAGGCCATTTCCACCCGAGTCAAAAGGACTGCTGGCTGGGTCACAAAAAACGACATCCCTGATTACAGGATCCCCGTCTTTCCATACTTCTTTTGTCGCCTTTATAGTAAGAGTGATGTTCTCAAGGCAAGCAGCTCAGAGAAGCTACAGGAATCCACAAAACCCTTTTGTCTGCCAATGATTACAGCCACACAAGATAAACATCCCTGGAGGTCCTGAGATTTCTGTATACTCATCCTGCAGCCCCTGTCACTGAAACCACACCAGATGCAACTTTAGAGGAGGCACATTCCATATAGTTTACTGCAATCTCCTTCACTCTCTATTAATCAACTGTTCCTGTACCAATTAACTTCCATTGCCCCTGTAAGTAATGTGACACTAACCCACTGAATTCTGGGTGTCAGGACATTATGGTTCTTTTGCAGAACCTAAGGTTAACCTTCCCTTCAGCAGTTGGGCATCATGTGAGATCTCCCATGAGCAAGAAAAAACTCATTTTCTCCAGAAGCACAAGGGGTTGTCACAACTGCCCGTTCTTCAGGGTGACCTCTGAGGTCACAGGCCTCTGGCAACAGGCAAAAAATGTAGACCACAGTGCAGTCCTCCCTAGGAGGCCTTGGTAGCGACACAAACTAGGTAAAAACTGGAGCCCTCCATATTTGGCCGTCATCCTGTCCCTTCTGAGGCACCCAACATTTGGATCCCCATGAAAGCTGTTTATTGTTCAGGTTGGCAGCCCTAGTGTTTTTTCAAATTACCCCACACAGTTTAGAGAATTTCCAGGATTAAAAGTGCCCAAAGACCATTATTATTGCACAAAGCAGTGCCATGTGTAACAGGCAGTTTCTGGTTTGGTGACTTGGAAGATGGAAAACCCCATCACAAGCACTACCTGAGACAACTGTGTCTCTAAGAGTCAGTGCTTTTCTGCAAGCCGCCAGCAGAACCCAGACAGTGTTCTCAGAGGTAACACAGGGTCAGGTCCCTGCCCTAACTTGTCAGAGAGAAAGGACAAGACCCCACAAGAGCTCAGGATTCCCATGACTTCCTCCAACCAATGGGAGGGCACAAAAGTCAGCTTTGCTGAGCACACTAGGATGGTGACCAACACATAGTGTGTGGACCTGCCAGGTAATAGAGATAAAACAGCTTCTGTCACAGAAACTAGCAGTATAAACCTGGCAAAGACCCTGGGTAGGTTACACATGCTCCCTACATCATTGAAATTTATGGAGATACTCAAGTGTGTGGTATCCAGATATACAGATATATATAGCTGAAAAAGTTTCTATAACACAGAGGAGAGGTAAACTGGAGTGTTGTCAGTTTTTATGGTGGCAGGAACGCCTAGTACTGCAAATGCTTGTAAAAGATGAGTAATAACATGATGAGATCATTTGCCTGTTAAAGCTGTGGCCCACGAAGCAGAAGAATAAGTGTCAATGGAAACATGAACATGTTTAAGAGTTCCAAATTCAGCAACAATAGTAACATCCATTTGCCATAGGGCATTAGGACGTGTTCCCCTGGGAACGGTTCCAGCTTGTGAGGAGAATTTGGGAACAGGTTGGACAAGAATTCAAGCTATTTTAAGCTTCACATGCAGAAGAGAGAAACGCTTCTGTAAGGTGAAAGAGGGAGAATGAGTCAGGTCGTGATGGTGTTCAGCTGGTGAGTTAGTAACTAAAGAAACAAGCTTGTCTACTTTATCTTTACAGTATGATAAAGGACATTAGAATGTAATCATGTATGAGTGATGAAAAAGGATGTAGACGTTGATGGATACATGCCTGTAATTGAGAAAATAAAGTGTTAATAGGAGATTGTACGGTGCCCAATGTCACGGTTTCTAATAGAGGAACAGAAAGGCAGCATAAGCAGAGTCAGTGACAATGTTAAGAGGACCTGGAAAATCTTGCAGAGCTTCCAATACAGCATATAACTCATTTTGCTGTGCGCAAGTGAAAGACGTTTGACGTTTTTCACAAACCAGAACAAGTTGTATAGGCTGCATTAAAAGCTTTCCCCGCTCTGTAAAACAGATAACAGTATTTCATAATGGATTAGGACTTTTTTGAGGAAGGATCCATTCATGGCACTGAAACAAGGAAAATAATTTATTCTTAGGGTAATGACAGTCAATATTTTGCATAATATTTTGCATAATATTTTGTTTAGATAATGGAAGAATAATGGAATGAGGGTCTTGACCAGTCATCTGTCTTAGTCTCTGTCATTCTTTCAGGATAATGGAGGCTACTTTGTCAATGTAAGGTTGTAAGGAGGGTTTAGTTTGATACTGCAAAAATACCCATTTTAACCAACCGTCACATTGACAGAGCAATCCTGTGGGAGAATGGGGAGTAAAGTAAATTAATAAGAGGAAGGGTTTGTATAAGTCAATTTTTGATAATCGAGCCTTTTGAGTGTGTTGTTCTATCCACTTGAGTTCTTCCTCAGCTTTTGAGGTTAAGTATCTAGGGCTACTAAGATCTGGGGGTCCTTTTAAGGAATTGAAAAGATGTTGTAATTTATAAGTAGGAATTCCTAATAATGGTCAGATCCAATTGATATCTCCTAAGAGCTTTTGAAAATCATTTAAAGTTCTAAGATGATCTCTCCTTATTTGAATTTTTTGAGTGATTATTGAATTTTCCTCAATTTTGTTCCCCAAATAATTCATTGGGTATTGTATTTGTATTCTATCTGGGATTATTTCTAATCGCCATTGTGTTAATCCAGTTTGTTTCACTGAGAAATTGTTCAAAGAGAAATGCTTAGGCAGAGCTATAAGAATATCATCCATATAATGAATGATATAAGCTGAGGGCCATTTATTCCATATAGGCTGAAGAGCCCTGTTTAATTTTACTAAATGGTAAGGCACGCTTTCCAGCTGCTTGTATTTTTCCCTAGGCTTCTAGGCAACACAGACGTACTTGTGTTACTGCCGTGTCATCGTACCCAGCTTGTGTTTCTAACTGAAGCCAATCTCCTTGTCCTGCTAGTTGTTCAGCAGGTATAAGAACTGGAGGATTGGCATGCTGATTTCTCAAAGCTTGTGCTCATACCACCACATTTTAAATTGTAAAAATTCAGAAGAGTCTAGACAAGTATAAGCCAATAAATCCCAATCATGAGAATCATCCTTTCCTATTCTGCCAACCCCAAGGGACCCACAACATATGGAGAATTAGTACCATAAGAGGAAATAGCCTGTTTAAAGTCTTTTAATGTCTTGTAAGGAATAGGTGTGTAAAGTGCTTTGACCCCTCCTGGTGGAATATCAGGATCCTCACCTGGCCCCAAAGGAGTTAAATTAACTGGTGCTACTAAGGGTGTCAGGTAAGCATCTATATCACCCTCCCACTGGGCTTTACGTACTCCTGCCGCGAAGGCAGACGCAGCAGGAACAGAGGCTACGGATTTTTCAGAAGAGGAACGAATAGAACTCTCATCGTCAGTCTCTGAAGAAGAGGAAGAGGAGGACGAGGAGTCAGACGCATGTGGGGATGAAGATCGCTTCCTTGATTTCACCACATCATCCAAGAGTTCTCACACTCGTGTGTGTCTGACTTGGTTTCAGACGGCGGGTAGTTTGCAAAGGCTGCAAGGCGAGTGATCAGATCACATAAACACCGGACAGGCACAGGGATAACATCCCCTTCTGTGAGCCTTTTTAAAGCCTCTTAATACATTATCCCAATCAGCTTGTCTAAGGGTCCCCTGTGGTGGCAACCAGTGACAATATTTTTTAATATATTTATGAAGTTGAGCGAAGTCCTTTTTAGAACTTCTCACTCTTGGTGCTTTTAGGAGGGCACAGAGTAATTTTAAATAATCCTCTGGTTTAGCTGCTTCGGTTTCATTTTGGCCCATTATAGGGTCCCTGACGTCTCAATCCTGACCCCACGCGTGTTTTCTTGGGAGCCTTAAGGGGTCCACGATCGTCGGAGCTTTCCCCGCTCTGCGTTTTAAGGGGTGCCCGGAGTGGAGCTTCCCCGCTCTGAGTTTCAATTGTCCCCGCTCTGAGTTTCAACAGTCCCTGTTTGGGCACGACTTGTCGGTCCCTCCCTGCTTCTGACCCACAGATAAGTGATGAGATGCCAGGAGTTATAGAGAACTCAAAGGACCAGCCAGGGGACTCAAGGTGTAACAGCACTAGAGTGGTGCTGAGAGGGCACCTCTTATATTAATCAAATGGTTGTTAACAATGATAAAACTCTGTATAGGGAACTCAGTGCACAATCATCAAGTCCAACTCTCAACAGTCTCCAATCTTCTGAAGCATAGCAAACAAGTTCTTAAATAGGGAACAATACAAGGGCACTCATATCACAGAAACTGTTTCTGTTTTGACCACGAATCATGAACTATAAACAATCAAGTAATATATGAGTATTCATATGATTTTTGTGCTTTATATGTGAATCCCACACAGGTGGCTTCTCACAGAGGTTTTTCCCCAACAGTTACACTTAATACGGAAAGAGCAAATTCTCTTTGAGTATCTAAGGCCTTTTCCAGTGTGAATTTTTGGTGTTGACAGGTCAGATTTGCAGCTCAAGGATTTCCCACATTTACTGCAAGTGAGCTCTCCTGTGTTGAAGGAGGGCAGAGCTCCGGCTAAAGGATTTACCACATTCATTGCACTGATAAGGCCTTTCTCCAGTGTGTACTGTCCTGTGTCGATTGAGGGAGGTATTGTACATAAAGAATTTTCCACATTCACCACACTCATAAGGCCTTTCTCCAGTGTGAACTCTCCTGTGTTGAGTGAGGGAGGTTTTGCGGGTAAAGATTTTCCCACATTCACCACATTCATAAGGCCTTTCTCTAGTGTGAACTCTTCGGTGTTGAACAAGGGCAGAGTTCTCAGTGAAAGATTTCCCACATTCACCATACTCATGAGGCCTTTCTCCAGTGTGAACTCTCTTATGTTGAGTGAGGGAGGTTTTGCGGGTAAAGAATTTCCCACATTCACCACATTCATAAGGCCTTTCTCCAGTGTGAACTCTTTGGTGTTGAACAAGGGCAGAGTTGTCAGTGAAAGATTTCCCACATTTAGCACACCCAAAAGGCCTTTCTCCAGTGTGAACTCTCCTGTGCTGAGTGAGGTGGGTTTTGCGGCTAAAGAATTTCCCACATTCACCACACTCATAAGGCCTTTCTCCAGTGTGAACTCTTTGGTGCTGAAAAAGGATAGAGCTATCAGTGAAAGATTTCCCACATTCACCACACTCATAAGGCCTTTCTCCAGTGTGACCTCTCCTGTGTTTTGTGAGGTGGCCTTTGCGGGTAAAGAATTTCCCACATTCACCACACTCATAAGGCCTTTCTCCAGTGTGAACTCTCCTGTGTTGAGTGAGGGACTTTTTGCAGGTAAAGGATTTCCCACATTCACCACACTCATACGGCCTTTCTCCAGTGTGAACTCTCCTGTGTTGAGTGAGGCAGGTTTTGTAGCTAAAGAATTTCCCACATTCACCACACTCATAAGGCCTTTCTCCAGTGTGAACTGTCCTGTGTTGAGTGAGGGAGTTTTTGCAGCTAAAGGATTTCCCACATTCACCACACTCATAAGGCCTTTCTCCAGTGTGAACTCTCCTGTGTTGAGTGAGGCAGGTTTTGTACCTAAAGAATTTCCCACATTCACCACACTCATAAGGCCTTTCTCCAGTGTGAACTGTCCTGTGTTGAATGAGAGACTTTTTGTGGCGGAAGAATTTCCCACATTCACCACACTCGTAAGGCCTTTCTCCAGTGTGAATTCTTTGGTGTTGAACAAGGACAGAGTTCTCACTGAAAGATTTCCCACATTCACCACACTCATAAGGCCTTTCTCCAGTGTGAACTGTCCTGTGTCGAGTGAGGCAGCTTTTGTACCTAAAGAATTTCCCACATTCACCACACTCATACGGCCTTGCTCCAGTGTGAACTTCCTGGTGCTGAATAAGTTTGTATTTGCAGCTGAAGGCTTTTCCACAGTTGCTACATTCATCAAGACCATCTCCAGTGCAGACTCTCTGGTGGTGAAGTGTGTGAGGGTTGCTAAATACTTTCCTGCATTCAACCCACTTGTTACAACTTTTCCCACTGTTAAAGGACTCCCTATGCTTGATGCTGCCATGTGGCTTCTCACCATTGGGAGTGGCCTGGTGCTGCAGAAGGCCTGATAGAGCTGAGAAGTCCTTTGCACCCTCCCCACAAGTGAAGGGCTTCCCCGACACATGGAATCTGCAGCTTGTCACAAGTGAGGCCCTGTCCATGTGTACTTTGAAGATTTTCTCTCCACTGTCATACTTTTGGTACTGGCGAAGGTTTTCACTGTACAATAAGCCTCTAGATGTCCCACCCAAGTATGGTTTCTGTCCAGGATATGTTGCTTGGAGCTCAGTCAGGTGTAAAACCTCTTTCAAGACTGGGACACACTTCTCACAAGGATGGGTCTTCTCAGTCAATGGACCTGCCATGGAAGTCCTGGCATCTTCTACAGGAACACTCTGCTCAGAAGGCACCTCATCCTTTGCTCCACACCAACAATCTGAAGGCAGAGAAATGCTAATACGGTAAAGGTTAACGCCAGTGGGAGGGAGAAGTCAACAAAAATGTGTGTGCCGTACACATACATTTAAATCAAAGAACGAATCCATGGGAATGTTTTCATGGGCAGCAATCTGAAGGGAGGGCCGCTTTGCAGTAGAGGGCCTGTAAAGATCACAGAATAAGGGAGACATTCTGGGATACAGGGCACACAAATATGGGTGTCACACAGGGAGCAAAGGAAGGATGACTGACTCACTGCCTAACAACAGCCTTCAGCAGGGACCTTGTCAGCCAGGGACATGGCCATGCTATGCAGAAAGATGGCTGTGTCCAGGCACAGGGAAATACACTCAGAACTGAGTACATGGTGTTCAAGGAGTACTTAAAAATATGTGCATACAACACTCTGTGTGTGGATCACTGTGGGAGAACTGCAGACTGTACAGCAGACAGGATAAGCGATACACGGAGGTCAGAAGCGTGGGGACAGCCAGGGACTGGAAGTCACAGTTGAAAGGAGAAATTACAAAAAAGTCAATTATGCACAAGAAAGTGATGTGGCCAGTGGCACTTGCACCAAAACACTGGTGGACACATGGCAGGGTCCTGGCATGATGTGAACACAGCTATGATGTCATGCCTTCCCTCAGCTGGCATGCACCAGGGCCAGGCCTCCTGACACCATCTTGGCATGTCCACTCTGTGAAGTAACCAGGGCTCGCCCTGCACCTCCAGCTGTGTGAGTACATGGGACCTGAATGAAGCAAGTCCTCAGGGAAAGACAACACAGGTGTGTGGCCAGCACAGACCCAGAGCAACTCTGGAATCAGCAGAGCACAGAAAGGAAAGACCTATTACAGTAAAATCTCAAAGTGCAGTCTTTCAAGAAAAGCCCACAGTGACCACGACATTGCTTTCAATTCCTAACACATGCAGTCAGGAGGAAATCCTTTAAGTTCTCATCCCAATAAAAAAATTTTTTTAACTCTGTACAGTGATGAATGTTAACGATTTACTGTGGTGAGCATTGTGCAATATATACAAATATGGAATCGCTATGTTGTACACCTGAAACTAATACGATGTTATATGTCTCAATTAAAGGTCAACTTTAAAAAAAAAAGAGGAGGAGGCAGAACATGGGGCAGAAGGTTCCAGGGATCTGGACAGTCACCTTGCCAGGGAGAAGGCAAGCTAGGGGACATCCATTAGGCTGCCTGCCAGACTTGGGACTCCCAGATCCTCGGCTGTGCACCTTGCAGGTGGTAGGGCTGCTTGAGGGGTGCACACAGCTTCGTGCTGGCACCCGTAGCACATATTCCAAGGGAGTGGGGGAAGTCAGCACAGACCATGGTCTGGCTGTGGAAAGGACAGAGCTGCCTCTGAGACGGGGAGGGACCAGTTAAGGACACTGGGAGGAATATGAAGGCCTTACCCAGGGACGCTGTAAGTGCAAAGATCTCCAGCATCACGTCGTGGTATAGGAACCGCTGTGCCTCATCAAGGAGGCCCCACTCCTCCTGGGAGAAGTAAATGGCCACGTCCTCAAAGGTCACAGAGCCCTGCGATAATGGGGACAGTTCACTCCATGATCAACTTTTCTCCTAGGACCCCACGTTCACCCACTCATTCATTTGCCCTCTGCTCACCCTCCTCATTTCCCCATCTCAGAGGAGACATCAGGGTCTGGCACCACTGACAAGCAGTCTCCTCCTGGGCCCTTTCATCCCCGTATCCAACCACAGCAACAGCAGGCAGGCAGGCAGCACCGAAGCTCTGGGCCCGGCCTGCAGGGACATACTCCCTCCGGCCAGGCAGTCCTACTGCCTCCCACGTCATGCCTCTCAGACAGAGCCAGTGGGGCGGGCTCACACTTCACCCTTATATCCTCAATGCCAGAGCACTCAGGCCGCCAGTTCACATCTCCCGGCCTGCACATCACTCTACCAATGTCTGTCTCATGGTTACTGCCTCTTCCCTGCCCTGCACCAAACGCACTGCCCTGTCCCTCCTACGTCAAACAGGACCTGGTAGCACCCCAGACCGCCAATGGTCCCCCTGGCCGTGGCAGTGCAGCGTGCCGCTCTAAAGGCTTCCTGCTGTGGCTCTATTACTCGCCTCCACCTCAGCCCCCCACAAACACTTGTGCATCTCATAGAACCAAGACCTTTTCCCACTTGTACTGCACTTGATTTCTCACCAGTCACAGCCTTCCTCTCTTCCTCACCCTCATTCCAAAACCCAGTCCCAGAGGCTTTGCAGCCCAGGTTCAGTTCTCCAGACGCCCATGTGTGCTGCTTAACTAACCCTCCTGCCCGACTCAAATTCCTGACACAACAAAATCCTGGTGGCCCCCACCACCTCCCCCAGCCATGAATAAGCAGGATGACTGACCTGTCATCTTGCCTCAGTTACTCCTATATAAGCCTCTACCTGTGTGTCAGCAGCGCGCAATGCTCAGAAGCCTCAGCCACCTGCCAGATCACCGTCTCCTCCACGCTGTTCCCAGTGCCACTTCTCTCCTCTGTCTGTCATGTCTATCACCTCCACCAGGTGCCCAAGCATGAGACCCAACCTTCAGACTTCCTGGTCTGCTATTAACATCATCAGGATTATTCCACGAAATGTGACCCACAGTGCTGTGGACTGAATGTATGCATCCCCCTAAAATGCCAACGTTGAAGGCCTACTTCCTAGTACGATGTTATTTGGAGGTGGGGCCTCTGGGAAGTAATCAGGTTTAGATTAGGTCATAAGGGTGTGACCCTTAGGAGCAAAGGAAGACATCTGCTCATTCCACTTTGCTGGGCCAAGGAAAGGCTATGTGAGGTTAAGGTGAGAAGGCAGGCATCTGTAAGACAGGAAGAGAGCCCCTCACCAGGAAACAAATCTCCCAGTGCTTCGATCTTGGACTTCCCAGGAATTTTGCTTAGGTGGCCTGAGCTTAGACACACCGCTCCACCCTGGTCCGCAAACTATCCACCAATTTTTCATACCTGTCTGGCCAGCTACCCACTCTACTAATTTGTTCTTCAAAACATCGCACACACTCAACACAGTGAAACCATCACTTATATCCTGAGCAAAAATTAATCATACTACAGGCTTCCACCCAAACAGTCATTGAACTTTTCCAATAACCTTAGTCATCCCTGACTTCTCTCTTACCTTCTTAATGACAAAATACAAGATCTACTAAGACAGGAAAAAAAAAAGAATGATACAGAATTCGACCTTCTCTCCGACTTCCAATCCCCCCAACTGGCCCGCAGCGTCCACACCCTCTGGGCTGCCGCAGTGGCCTCCTCCCGGGTCTTCCTGCCATTCTCCTCATACCTGCTGTCCGCTGTCCATGCTGCAGCCACAGGAAGCCAGGTTTCCCGAGTCCCCCCGCACGTAACTGCCCTACGCGCCGTGACACTTGTGCTCATAACAGGGGCCCCGCCCACGAGCGCCTTTCGTCCCGGGCCCGGGGCCTGGGCAGTGGGCCGTGAGCAGGGCCCGAACTCAGGGCCCGAGGGTAGGCGGGCGAGGGCGGGAGGCCCGGGGACGGGCAGGTACCTGAGGCGGGCCCCTCGACGCGGCCGCCGCCATCGGACTCTGTGGGCGCAGCGGGGCCGCGCGCAGAGCACAGGAGGCGACCCGGGCGCAGCACGCGCGATCCCGGCCCTGGCGGGGGGCCCGTGGGCGGCGTCGCCGGGCCTCACACTCGCCTCCCTGCGGCAGGGACGGCGCCTCTTCTCGCACCTTCTCAACCCCGAAAGGGAGGTACAGCGTCAGTCACCCAGCGCACCGACACAGATGCAGCCGAAACCACCGCCCCGGGGAGGACGCCGGAAGCCCTTTCCGGACGCTAGGCGTGCCCCGGAACTGCCCACCTCCGGAGCTTTCATTGGCTCACCACAACGGCGCCCAGCGCAGGCCCCTCTGGGTAATGTAGTTCTCACCGTTCGCCAAGCCTAGAAGTACGGCGCCCCTCACCTGTTCCTACAGGGTGAAAGGGCGCTGGAAGAGGTGCTGTGAGTCCGCGCTCCTATTCTCCAAGGGCAGGGGAAAGGCTTGGCTCCTCCTTAAGGCGGGTGTTCTCAAATTTCTGAGAAGTGTCTGCAGCTGGTCACCCTTAAAGGACAAACCGGGACCGACTCCATTTTCTTCTGTGCCCTCCGTCTTGAGTAACTAAGGCCCCGACATGACCCCTTTCCGGGAAGGTTCCCACGCCCGGGAAAGTTCCCACGCCCAAGAAAGTTCCCAGGCAAACCTCCCGGAGCAATCAGCCAAGACCCTCAGGCTCCCCAGCAATCAGCTAGAGCTACGACTGTCACCCCACCAACTGCCCCTAGACCCCTATAAAAGCTTTGTGCTTTTGAAACTTGCACTCTCTGGCATCTCGCCGCTGTGTCCGTGCAGATAGGAGACTGAGCTCGAGTTAGCTCGAATAAAGGCTCTTTGCTTTTGCATCAGACTCGGCTCCCTAGCAGTCTTTGGGGATCGCGAATCCTGGGCATATTTGGGGGCTCATCCGGGATCCCCAATACCTTAAGGGACCCCGTCCTGGAGAGCCTGACTGGCCACAGTTGGTATTTGTTCGTTCCCTGTCTCTTGTGTGTCCGCTTCCTGTCTGTCCGTGAGCTCATTTGTGGAATCCTGGTACTGCCCGAAGCGGTCTATGTGGATGCACAGGTGGACCATGGGCTGGGGGCGCTGGAGGATTCGGAAGACGTTCAGATCCTACCTGGAGGGACGTGGAATCCCCTCAAAGGTCTTTTTGGAGGAACGTGGAATTCCCCTCGAAGATCTTTCTTTTTGGAGGGACGTGGAATTCCCTCTGTAAGAATATAGTAATTTATCCTCCATTTACCCTATGGTCCCAAGCACATAAGCTGGTGAGAATTATGCCTGGGCTTGCCTGGGGCTTGACTGGGCGTCCCCCGCCTTTTCTCTAAACATCCCGACCCTCCCCCAAAGCAACAGGCCAAGTGGATCCGCAACAATAAAAGGTACCATGCTGCTGCCCTCTCTCTTCCCCCCCCTCCCCCTGCTCTCCCTGCTCGCTGGCTCTCTTTCTCTCTCTCTCTGCCCCTGCTCTCCCTGCTCTCTCTCTCTCCCTGCTGCTCCCTCCCTCCCTCCCTCCCTCTCTCCCTCCCTCCCTCTCTCCCTCTCTCTCTCTCTCTC